AATTAGTCTCAAAGTCAAAGTCAAATTCACATTGCGACTGATGGTCAGTCAGGCAGGCAGTCGGTCTTGGTATCGAGCCCAATGTGGGGCGCATGACCTTACCTAGTCTTAGTCTTAGTCAAAGTGAACTAGTCTCCAAGTCCAAGTCACATTGCGACAGTCAGTCAGTAAGTCTTGGTGTCGAGCCCCATTTGGGGGTCATGACCAGATATTTATTACTGTTTGGCATTTACGGTCTTGTTTCTGTGGGCCGCCCTCTCTGACGAGAGGACGGGTCTGCCTTTTGTATATGCTACTGGCTCTTGCCAGTGCAGTCTTTCTCGTGTCCGAGTCTCTTGGGACTCGCGACCACATTTTACCGTCTCAGATTTGAGACTTCCCTTTTCGTCGCCTCCTACGACTCGCAGGGTCACGGTGGAGGTATTAGACCCCGCCTCCACACGGGGATCTCAGAGTCAGCGTCAGAGTCAGAGTTACTTTACGACTGGCGGTTTACCGCCAATCAGTTCATCTTGGCATCGGGCCCCTTGAGACCCACGACCAGAGAGTTTTTTTTTTCGAACTGAACTCTTGCGGTAATAGTCCTTATGTAACATCCTCTCTGACGAGAAGATGGATCTGTCTCTTATGAATACATTCGACCTTTCGTCAAGTGTATATTTCGCACATATAGTGTTATCGAAAACTCTTCCTTTTGCCTTACACTCAAGTCCTCTGTCAGTACAGGCTTTACAGAGCAGATCATACCTTTATATATCTTATGCTACAACGGCATCTTAGCACTTGAACGGTCGTAAGCTTGACCACCACCAAATTTAAGCCGCTTATATTTTTAACTGGGTCTATCCGTTACCTAGAAACAGGTTGCTGTTTATTCGCCTGTCTCGCGGTCATTGCATAGCAACGGCTGTACACGCTAGAATATAATTTTTATCAAATATTCTGAATGCTAGATTTCATTAAAAACTATCCAGATGGGTTTCACTATATGCGCAGAGAGTAGCCTACTCAGTGATTGACAGTACGCAATACGTGCAAGGTGTATGTTGCAGAAAAGATGCCTGTTAAAAAACAAATTAATTAAATGTTGTTGCGTGATAGTTGATTTATTATTTTAGGGTCGAGATGCCATGCCATCCCAGTAAGGCACACATCTGCAAACTGCTCTATTTTGAAGCTTCAAGACCTCCAACAAATTTGCTACAAAGTGACGAGGCACGCTAATTAAAAGCATAACAAAATCGTTACTTTAAGTTTCTGAAACTTTCCCTATTACTACGAAAGTTTAGTGTCACATTTGCTTTACCCGTTCTCCCAGATTTCTCTTTTTAAGCCCATCGCTTACAGTAAATCCTCGCAATTTGTTTTCTCGCCCCAACACATTTCATCCCGTCCAGTACCTTAACATACGCACATTGCAATTTAATCGGATTCGTCTGATATTAGCTCCTTCCTTAAATTGCTCGAAGGGGTGAGTGTTTAATGGCGCTTTCTCCCTCTCCTAACCTCCTCATTCCTCTCTAACGCCGTTACAGAAGATTTATATACACTGCTCTCTGTGAGAAACTTCTTAGAGAAGGAAATATTTGAATATCATATGTCCTCGTATTCGGTTCGGTCTACGAACATGAAACCGTTACATCATACACTTGACGTGTCTGTGAGCAACTTGACAACACATGATATTTCACTGGGATTAGGTGTGGAGCAGTTTCGGTTTAAAGAACTGTCTCTTATAAAAACTGCATAAGAGATTTTTAAAACTTGCTCGCGTGCCTTTACATTTTAGCGTAACCCCTACGCCATCCGCCATGATGCAAAGCTAACGTTATGCGTGTGGTTGCACAAAACTGAAGACCTATGAGGAAATGACAGCAGCCGGCGTGAATCTGTGAATATAGTCATTGGGGCCACGGGCTGAACGACCAGAGAATCGAGGTTTTATTCCCAACAGGGCGAGGNCATATACACGGTGCCAAATCCCAGAAGACTGCTTTCTTCATAGTCACCGCCGTGAAAGCCTCAAATCTTAGATATTTCTCTTCATCGCCGTGTCAGGAAAGTTTTTGGGCCCTCCCATCCAGTTTCGTATCAAGTGGGCATCGGTCCCCCCCCCCAGAGGTAAAGCTGCCAGGAAGTGAAGCTAACTATTCAACTTCATCTGTTGCCGAGGTTAATGTATTGCGATGTGTCAACGCATTGCCAAGCAACGGCTCGATAAACACCCTACATTACAGGCACGCAACAATAGAACAGCAGGGCTATGCAACCCGTTTCTAGGCAACGGCTCGGTAAACACACTTCCGCGTAGGCATTGACGTCACACAACGGTGGATAGAGACCACGTGACTTTTTCTGTCCTCGCCGAAGTTTGTAAGGGACAGCTAAGGTCGTTTGCGGGCAGCCGTAAGCTGGAGGAGTGAGTAATAGATGGACTTCACTTGAGTTCCGAAGTTCCAAGGGAACTTCAGTGTGGCCAGAAGAAGAATTAGAAGATTTAATGTGTGACGTTACATGTGCTGTAGTACGTAGTTATTGGGCGTGTGTAATGTAGTGAGACTTATAGTTCCTATGTTGAGATCCGTTGTCAGGAGACGACTAGTGAAGATTGTGAATCCTAGTGCGTTTGCAATGGTGAAATGAAAATTACCTAAATACAGCGATAGCGCTGTATTAATTGCAATTAAGAGAGATTATAACCGAAATGGCAATAAACCTAATCATCCGAACTAGAAACCGTTATTTTCGTCAGGCCTACCACCTCCGACACGTGACAGTATGATGCTGTGCCTCAACTCATCCACACATCTTCGTCGTATGGTGCTTAATTAAGCTCAGGGATAGTTTTGTATGGAAGATAAAGCTAGGTCCTTAATGTCAAGTTTCATGCTTCAGCCCCCCCCCCTTGCCACTGGATAGGAGAAGAGGGAGGCGCACAAAAGTATCAATTCCCCTAGCGGGAATCAGATCCTGTCTCTCAAAACAAAACCCCGTTTCGTGAAGAATGGATTTGGGTGATAATTTACGTTAATATAGAGGGATGTTTTGCATATCTGAAAAAAAATAAGAGTGCGCATTTGAAATAATTTTTGGCTGTCACGTTAAATGATGATTCATGAGTCTAACGAAAACTTGATATTAACACGTTAAAAGTTCAAATGTGCCCACTCACGATGAATTATTTCTTGTGTCCGGGTGCAATAAGTCTAAGATAATGCGCATTTTGGAACACATGATAAACGCGTTCCAGTCGTGTGTTCTAGCTCATTGTCAGCATATTAGAAAGTCGAAACCAGTTCAAACCAGTACTGAACACAACTTGAACTTAACCTCAATATTGACTGTGTCATTCGCTTCACCACGGATGAAATAACACTGTGACCCATATAATGTACTGATATTGCCTGCACACCACATGAATTGATTACACTGCCATGACTCAGTCGGCAAAGCCTTGTTTATTATAACCGGGTGTCCTGTGTGACGGTGATGCTGACATTAATGTAATAGAAGTTTAATGGCTCTTAAAATCTTACACATTATGGTATATGCTAACGATAGCCGAGAATTTCTTGTCCAGCTAATTGACTGTTGGCCTCTGAAGCATGACTTTGCTCCGTATAGTTGATTAGGTAATATTTAGTTATAATGCTGCAGCACTGTGGCAAACAGTGACTAGTTGTGTGCAGTGTGGCCATAAAGTCATGCAAGTGACAAAGTGTATTGGTTTTAAACATATGAATTTGTATAAAAATAACAAAATACCTGTATATAAAATCAAATTCAAGTTACCATCCAAGTATGTCTTGTCGGGGTAACCCAAACGGACCCGGAGACGCCGTCGGGAGACCCGGGAAGAGTTTTCTGCTCTGCATAAGCGTTCGAGTTCCCTGGAATCCTCTAGCGGTGAGAGAGTGTTTGGAACGCGAAGAGCACCGCAGTTGAGGCGGTGTCCGGGTCGTCCCCTCGGACGTTGAAAATCCGGGAGAGGGCTAAGGCCGCGCCATAGCTCAAGCGGTTAGTCGCTGGCTTCCCACCGCGGCGGCCCGGGTTCGATCCCGGGTCTGATCAAGTGGGATTCGTGGTGGACAAAGTGGCGCTGGGGCGGGTTTTCTCCGAGTACTTCGGTTTACCCTGCCAATCTTCATTGCACCAAATTCCCCATCATAATCACCCGGGGAAGGCTACAGTAGGCCAATCAGTGGCCGTCGTGCCGAGTGAGCCCAGTAGGACTCCCNGACTCCCCCCCCCCCACTAACCGAATTAAAAAGAAAAGTGCATCTTGAGATAAGCTTGGGTTTGATTTTGTACAGGTAGTGTATCGGGAAATAAATCCTATCAAAATAGTTGTATATCAGTTTAAAATTATAAATGGTGTTCAAACTGTCCTCCATTGATTTCTAAGCAAAACAAACTAGAACAGTAGTGCTTCAGGAGCAAGAATAAAACAAACTAAAACAGAAGATTCCCCTGATCAGCACCCAATAACTTATCTCACTTGTGCGATGTAAGGAACGTACTGTGCAGAATATGTCAGCAGCCATCTTTCAGAATAGACACTGAACTATGCGAGGAAAGTTGATCAATATAAAACTGAATTGTTTGTCTTATAAGACGTAGTATTGTTCTTATTACATAACAGCCTTTGATATTCATGCCCATGGCCAGTCCGTTAATATTGCTACAATGACAAAGCAATTTTTTTAATAAGTGAGACATTTTCAGCTGTGTTCGTTACTGTTGAAAGTCATTCAGTAGTTATGTACTGGGGGTCTCCCATTGAAAGAGCAATAGGCAGGTCTGCAGAGTAAACAAATTTCTGAACTCATTTAAGGTTTTAAACTTTTAATTTTAAGTAACTTTATAATTGCCTTGTCTTTCGGTTTGTTGCAAATTGTCAATTTTCACTCAATTCTCCAATAATTGTGTAGGAACTAATTCACTTTAGATTTCAGATGTGGCATGCAGCTAACAAACGATTCACTGTTTTCTGTTCCCAGACACGAAACCTAAAGTTAAGACTCACTACCGGGCACATCGACTGTCTTTCTGGCTGAATCTGGTGCCAGACTTGCACCGTCCTGGTGGGGATGATGTGCCTCCTTCTCACCACATGCTAGAAGATGGTAATGATCACGCAGTTGGCCCAGGGGGCAGTGATATGGCGTTTGATGGGCGCGTCCGTCAACCAGGCCTCAGGGACGGTGCTTCCATCTCGAAGAAACCAGCATCTGAAACTACCAGCACATCATCATCTGCAGTTCAGGGTGGCAGCAAAGTTGACTCAGCTAGCACAAACATCTCCGGTAACGCTGTTGTAACCATTCAAAGTCTCCTACCTTCAGACTTAGACAAGAATGTTGATGATGCATCCTCGGCTGCAGCAGCTGCTTCAGCATCACCACCTCAGCAACCGGAAGATGGCTTCGCCGCTTATTCTACAGCTCTCAGCGTTACTATAGCAATAGGTTGTTCCTTGTTGATACTGAATGTCTTGATATTTGCAGGAGTGTACTACCAGAGAGACAAGACGAGACTACACCAGGAGGGAGGGGGTCAGGGAGGGGTTGGAAAGAAGAGAGCGGAGAACGGGCAAATGCCTAACAGTATATGTGGAGACCTCCTTGTCGTCGACGGTAGTGGAGCTGGCAGCACAACAAATATCAAAGGCTCTGATCCTGGAGGTGGCGGGATATTAAGCCAACATCACCACCACGCTCATCATCATCATCAGTTACCGCCACCAGAATTTGCGGACTTACCCCCTCCATCAAATAATTCCTCATCTGGTACATCAACCCTGCCAAGACCTCCACCACCTCCTAAAACATCTAAACCACCCATACCAACCCTGTCAAATCCAAATCAGTTACAGAGCTGTGGGCCAGAATCTCAGCCCTTGTTACCACCCCATAGCATGCAGATACTGAATGCGGGACCAGGTAGTGGCGAAACGTTAACTAAGAAGGGGGGTGCACATAATAATAAAATGGAAGAATTACGGGTGTGACAGCAACCAAACTTTGGTATTCAAACTATCACTACAGATGTATGAAATTCAGGGACAGCAAATATGATGGGTAGAATGGCATGCCATTGAGTGAAAGTATCTGTTCAACAGAAATAAAAATGCAGTGTGTTGGATATAAATTTATACAGGAAACAATTTGAAAAACTGTCCTGTCAACGTTTTATAAATGAAGTGAATTATGGTTACCTGTTGCTGCCTGAATCACAAATGTTTATTTTGGATTATTGACAAAGATAGTATTACACATTGCAATGAAAAGAAGATCCCCTAACAAGGTGTGTTAATGAAAGGGGTGCTTAAAACAATATTCCAGATTCACTCATCCAATATTCTTCTATTTGTCTAGAAAAACAAGGATGTATCCATTAATTCAAATATAAATGGGTTCAATTTAAAAATGTTTTGCTCAAAATGATTGACAAAGAGGATGAAACAAGTATACTTTATGCTGCGTTGATGAAGGGGCCTACTCTAAATACATAACTTTCCTTCGATATCACAATGAAGATGAACTTAACATGGAAAATATTCACAACAAATGGATTCCATTTTTCGCATTTTAACTTTGAAATATCAGTTTCACATACAAAATTTACGTTTAGTGCCACAATCACATAGGTTATTGTTGAAAATGACCGTGTTTCTGTCATCTGAACACAAAGTAACTTGTACTTACTGCTTTTCGGTTTTCACGATAGTTAATTATTTCAACTCAACATAGCGACTCACCAGCCTACACACTTTGGCATTGAAGATGAAAGGTACATGCATCCGTGAAACTTCGGAAACATCACCCACAAGCACGGTTTAACAACCAAAGAACTCAGTAGCAGGCTTCTGAAAACATAATTTTATTGACAAAAGCATAGGAAAAGAACATGAACCTTGGTCTGTAATGTTAGATGTCCACGTAATTTTCAGGTTGTCACGCAAGTTATTGACATCAGTTTGTTTTAGTGCACGGCAAATGCACTTCATTTCACTATACTATTTTCATTTTGCACTTACTAAATTGCGCATAACAATATGAATTTGATCAGTTGGTTTTCACAGCACACAGTCTTCCACAACATGGAAACTACCACTTTCTACCGATTGGCCGTCTTCAGGCCAGTGGCCACTGATTTGTATACATAATTTATTTAGAAAGGTACCGCAGTTTCGAAAGTGGACTAGGCACTTCGCGTTGCTAGAGGAGAGGGGGAAGGGAGTGCTGGAATCATCAGTGACTTTGCACGTGGTACTCTGGCCTGTGACCTATTTCCTCCCCTGCACTTGGTCGACGTACCAATACTGTCATTACATTTTTCCATTGTACTGAATCAAAAAATACGTGGAACCAATCTTATACATTGAAATAATACAAAGTATTTTGTTACCGGTTACTTAGCATATTCACAGTTACCAGTAATAGTCAGTCAGTTTAAAGAAGTCATTAAATTAGCGGCGCGTTTTATCCGAAAGGAAAATAATAAATAGAAATAAATAACTTCATAGAAAATGTGGAATATCTTTCATACGGGAGAGAGTAGCATAGCTCATTCAAGATCTTTGACTAGCCCAATACACAACACATCGTAGGATTATGGTGTTACAAGATTGCTGGATGGGATGTTTAAGTTAGGGCAACATATGAAGTGTGCAAAGCATGTGTTCAAAAATTCAGAGAGAAAGAAAAATGTATTCTGGTAGCTCAAAAAAAAACATGTCACAAGGTACTGGATGAAAAACACAAGCTTTCTTCTGTAGGTTGCAAACATGGATAATATTCTGTTGTGAGTATTGTGACGTGCCGTCTAAAAGTCGGAACCTTTGAATGAGATCAAAGTTGATTTCCTAGGCAGCGAGCATTGACAAAGGACGTTCCCGCGACAACGGCTTATCATGGGACTAGTATACATGCATTTCCATGGAAACTCGGCTAGACACATAAGTTAGGGCAGAACTGGAGGTGTTTCCGTGGCAACGCGTACAAAGGCAGAAGGTCACCACGGCAATGAACTGCATGTCGTACTGGTAGCCGCAAGACTCCTTCAGAATAACACCAAGACGTACCAGGGGAACCGATCCCCCCCCCCTGACGAAAAGACGCACAACATTCAGGGTGGTGGAGCTGTGGAGAACCTGGCCACTTTGAGAGCAATTGCCACTACTGAAGAAAAGCAGAGAATAACTAGCGCCAGAAACGAGAAGGTGGGCTACCAAGAGACAAACGGGAATCGCCGGGAAGATGGTAATGGCGACCAAGTAACGACAGGGAAACTAGTAGGAACAGTGACTAACTGTCGTGAAACGGGCGAGGCCCGGCAGAGAAGGGTGGTCGCCGGCATATACATTAATCCCCCCCCCCCATTGCGCAGTGACGGACATCACGAAGAAAACCAGCAGTACTCTGGTTACTAAGGTCTGGGTCGGTGACAAACTGTGACGGGTGACAGTGAACACTGGAGCATGGTTGCAAGCCCAGGTTCCATGCTGCAGACTCTGTCTGGGCGATCCCTACCCATTTTTAAAGAAGTTCTGTTAACGCTCACCCTGGGTGCCTCCCGCAAAGGATGTGGGTTTTCGTCGCAGATATCACCAGTGAGTTCATTCTGGGACTGGACATACTGCGCGCCTACGATGCATCTGTGGCCATAAGTCGGCAGACATTCAGCAGGAAGTACAAACCGGACGACGACCGGAATGGAAAGACATCGCTGACCATAGTCCCAAGTACAAAAGCTACTGGGCTCAGTGGAAATCGCTCGCTGTGAGAAACGGCATACCGGAGCGCAACTGGGAATCCGCCAATGGACAATCTCAAATAACCAAAATAGTTCTTCCTCGGAGGAGACTTATCTGGTGACGGTCCAGCTGCACTGACAACAATGACATCTATTTCTGATGCCAGTCAAACACATACTAAGGGAATAATGAAATGGAAATTGATTTTAGGCATGTAGTACTGCTGTCACTTTAAAATTAATGCTCCAACGTGCATGATCGAGGGCTAAGTTTTGTATATTTTGTTTAAGCCATATGGCTATTGCATTTCGACTACACACTTTCAAGGCTGGAACACTGATTTGCTACTTCCAGTAACTTGTAGAACAACACAGAAAGAAGAAAGTCGCCTTCTTGGTTTAGGCACCGTGTATTCTTCATTTTGGCCGACGTTCTTCCGAAACGTCGGCCAAAACGAAGAATACGCGGTGCCTAAACCCAGAAGACGACTTTCTTCATAGGCATCGCCGTGAAAACCTCAAAACTTAAACACAGAAAGAGTTCAGAAAACAATAACTTGTATAAAAAGAAAATTATGATGTGAAAGTAAAAATTTACGGTTCCAGTGTCTGCAACATTTTATACTTCTCCCATAAATAATATTTTAACTGCAAACCCACGTACGTAGCATGGTTAATGAGTTAGAAACAGCATGGTAGCCATCAGATTCAAAGTTGAATAACTCATACGAATTAGCATATGATTATCCATTCTCATTACGTCTCAACGTCTCACAGATGACTACTACATTCCAGTGTCTTATGCTTCTTAGTGTTGCCAGACACCACACAAAGAGATGCAGACGTCTTCTTAACCCTATCAAGACTGAATTTCTTCTAGTAAACTATTAAACAGGAAACACAGTTCATCTCACCTACAATGATCAATCAATTAATGCTTTTTAGGGTAACGGTTAATGGTCATTATGAGAACCATATGGAATACACAGGTACACTGTGTGGGCAGAATGCAGAGTTCTAGTATGTTAAAGCAGATGGTACATGTAGAACACTGAGCTTTGAAGGGTTAATCAGATATTTCACTTAATCAAAGAGTCAGCAAAGGTAAAAAAAAAAGTATTATCGCTTGTTTCCTGAGTAACGCGACAAGAAAATTTACATGGGTCTCTGATTTGGATAAATATTGATCGGACGATCACGCTTTACACTCACAAATACAACTATTCACACTTATAGCGTCTTCGGACGTTTCCTCTTTTAATGTTATACACTCTTGCACAGCTAATCTCGGTGAAGTGTCTTCTGCTCTGCTCGGAGCTCAACTGTCCTTAGGTCTCGTCGGATACCAACTGACTGGCCTCTTGCAGAGTATGAACTGTTATATCATACACTCGGACTGAATAGGGAACACCTTGTCGAAGGGTTAATTTCACCCGCTGCTATGCAACGAATCTCATTTTGCCGCGGAATGCATTTCGTTACAAATAACGGTGGAAACCCCACTAAACCCCACTCTTAGACTTTCATTTCCGGGGCAACGATTTCCGAGGAATTGCTAACCGTTGACCAGTTATGGGCATGTTATCGTCCGACCTTCCAGGCGGCACGTTACAATATTATTTGAAGCATGTTGAGCATTTAGTCACTACATGCCTGTGCACAGAGAAACAAGACACCAGCACCTAGTTTTGCAGTTTCAAAGTTAACAATACGAAACAGCGTAATATGGAATCCAAGTAAAATATGACCACGAAAAATATATATAATTGTTTAGTGAATATGCATGTAGATTTTTTAAACATGAAAATCTCTTTATACAATATAGCAGGAATGAAAGTGACAACAAAGAATTAAACAAGAAACAAGTCAGCATGAAGTTGAGTCATTTATGAAATGAAAACTGCTGAAAAGAACGGCTTACAGGAACATCCCCTTGGGAACATACGGTAATATCGTGTCACAATTAACAGTGGAAACAAGAACGACGTTGCTCATTATATTTAAAATTAACAAAGGACTCATTCAAGTGTATAATGGTTGAGTAATATTTTTGCCAGAGTGACAGTCACAGAAATGAGTTTTCTGCAAGCAAAGAGAAAACTTATAAAATGTGTGTGTATGTTGGTGCATGTGAATATGTGTGGGTGTGAGCGAGGGTAAAGGGTATATAAAATGTTATGTTAACTGCGGTTGAAATAAAAGTATGAATTGAATTTTAATAATTCAGAGTTTACTTTTCTAATATTCTCAAATTTTCCTCAGAACCTGCACCATACTTTTACTATTCTAGTAAACGGTGTAATTCCTTCCTTCACGAACATACGATTCCTGTAGGAATTACCTGCCAGACATACCTAAGGAACCTGAACTAACGCAGCCTAACCGTACGTAATATGAAGGTCTGCCTCATTGCACAGATTGGTGTACTGTGACTTGACTTTGCAGCTCGTACTGTTAATACTCATCATAGCCTAACCCGACCTAATATGTCATACCCTTTACTAACATGCCTTGTCCTCTCTCAGGCAATCCTAACCTAATCTAAAGTGCCCTTATCTAACATTACCAAACCTAACCTAACTTACCCTGTCCAACTTTGCCCCAAAGTTTTCATCGTGTCCAAACCACGTAGCCTGGCCTGAACGGTATTCAACCTTATTAACCTTTCCAACCATGTCCTATCCTGGCCTCCCCGAAACTAACCTAACATCTCCCAGCCATAATGGCGTATGTAGAGGCTGTGGTGGTATTCGCCAATTTAACGTAACACCAGGGACTGGATGAAAGAGCAGGTGTGTGGAGTGGTGTAATGCATCAACCTGATTTAACATGTCTTAACTAACCTAATGCAATCAGACCAAGTTTCACTGAAATGTATAAATGGACGCACAGGTGGTTGTTCAAGTTGTCATCGAGTGTGGATGGCCATTGGTTCGATACGCATGTGTAATGTGACCTAATCAATCTTAACGGAATTTCACTCCACAAGAATGCGTAGATGGGTTCCTTAGTGGTCTAATGCACCAACACCGCAATTTGATGGAACCAAACCTAACCTTTCACCTCCTGCAGTTATGCCCTAAAGTTATGAAACACCCTGTATAACCATGGGCCCATTTCATTGGACCATAACTGCTGCAGCTGATAGAACATCATTAAATAACCTATGAATCGAATCAAAATGCAGTTGTATCAAATACATCCATTGTGTCATCCAAAATTTAATTGCAAGTTTCACGAAGTTCATTGATTGTACACAGCCACGATTGTGGGTCTAATGTATCTGATTTTCGATGCTTTATAAACCTTCAGGTTTTCACGTTGGATTTGTGAAAGTACCTTTCGCCGTTTATGTTAATGGTTTTCTTATTCTTTCTCACAGACATTTCCTGACTTATCTAATAATGTGCATTGTACAATAACGTGTAGACATTGAAGTCCATAATTTTCATCACACGCAACGGAAAAGCAAGTGATCTCTAAATGTGAAAGTAGCTCTTTCTGAACTAACAGAAAATGTTGACCATTTCAAAACGTTTGTCATTTGAGAAGTATCTAATGTGATTTGTAAACTGGATTTTAAGAATAATCATAGTTCTTAGGGTCGTTTCTGCATATAACATTGTGCCATTGAGCAGAATGCGTATGCCTAATGAACCATGTTAGGTGGGTCCCAACTCACCACGGCATGGCGCGTCCTCAGGTTGCGGATAGAGGAGCCGTCCTGTAANTTCCTGTTTACGGTGGGAAGTGTTTGTCGCGTAAAGGGGTTCACAACTGGGTGATAAATGTTTCGTTGATGACGAAGAGGTTAAAACGGAGTTGCGGAAGTGGCTGAGACAAGATTCAAGACTTCTATGCTGCGTGTTTCGACGAACTGGTAAAGTGATAGGACAAGTGTATTAATGTTGGTGAAGGATATGTCGAGAAATAAATGTTTTATCCAAGTTTAAATATCACGTGTTACTTTTTATATCCATTTGTGGTATTTACTGACTCTCTGTCGGAACATTCATCGCTGAAAAGAATAGGTGAGTCGGTATAGCGATGGCCTATTAGCTGGACGGCCAGGATTCGATTCCCTGCAGAAGTAAGATCTTTCTGTTCTCAATAAGGTCCGGATCGGCTCTGATGCTCACCCCGTCTCTTTTCTAATGGGTGCCAGAGTTTTCTTCGCCGAGGGTAAAGTGGAAAAGGGTGGTGGGGTTAAGCTGAGTATTCATGTCCAACTAGTACCGAGCTCAAGAATGTTGGAGCTATACCTCCATCCCTCATAGGCCTTCATGGCGTGGCGTTTAATTAATTAAGCACAGAAATAAATTTGTCTTTTTAAAAGTGACATGATAGTTAGTGTACAAAATGTGAAAATTGATATTAAATGGTGTACAGTCTCTCCCAAAAATCTATTTCCCCAGTATTTTTACACCAGTTTGCATTTGAAAGCGAAATGTTGAATTGTTTCATATGGCAATGTATTGTCACGTGATATTTTTTACTATCGACGGGGTTTTGGATCAGAGATCGAACTTATTGACCACTTTAACACGCGACTCGTGACTGCGTTTAATTATACGGCCGTCATTGATCTCCACACTTTACAAGTCACTAGAAACCACACTAAATTGTTCAGTCTGCTGTGTCTTCAGTCGTTCCCTGGTAACGGATTATAGCATTGGAGATTCATTAGCTTTCGCGCTCACCATGTTGCCCGCCGGCTCTGGAGGAAAGCTGCGAATATATTGAATAAGCAGTCGCGGACAGCCGATAAAGTGTGGTCTTCCAGCTTGGGAGTTGAGCATGGGGCTAACAACTCCTCGCCGTAAAAAGTAAGCTTATTACGAAAATGTAAAAAAAAAAAAGCCTCGGACCTGGACGGATCCTCTGGATGGAGGACCTACGCTAAAGAAAATGGATATGAGATTCGGTACTTCGAATGTTAGAAAATGGATCTTAAGAGAGATAGGTTGGTATGGTGTGGATGGGATTGATCTGGCTCGGGATAGGGATCAATGGAGGGATTTGTGAATACTGTACTGAACCTTCTGGTTGCATAAAATAGCTGACAAACTCAGAGCCAGAGTCAGGGTTACTTTACGACTGGCCGTTTACGCCAATCAATCCGTCTTGGCGCCATGCCCCTTGAGAGTCGCCAACGGCAATTTTATTTTCGACTGAACAATTGCTTTCATAGTCCTTATATAGCATNAGTTCTTGGGTAGCTGCACAATTGGCGGCTTCTCAAGAAGGGCTCAGCTCCGTGAGTGAGTTACATCCTAATGAAATAACGCAATAATAAAGATTTTAGCAGGGTCTGGGATTTTCACAGTTGTGGTTGTCAAGAGTTCTGTCTTCTGGGATAAAATGAAAGATTCTTCACTAGATTAATTCCTCGAAAGAAGTTATTTCAACTTTACGTCGTACGAAAACTCGGCACTTTTCGTCCAGTATCTTAAGGTGAAACGAAGAAAATTGAAATGCAGGTCCTGTTACGCGTTTGGGGTGGAGTGGAGAGACTGATAAAAAATTATTATAGAAATTACTGTTTGGAGGTAAGAATATATGGAAGAGAAATATTGAAATATTTCTTTGAAAAAATGGGTTGTAAGATATAAAATGGAGAAAACTGAACCAGGTTACTGTCATGTATCTGGGTTTCATTATAGCTCTGAAGATTATTCAGGTTCTATAACAGGAAGATAGATATTTCTGAATATTTCAGTAATTCGCTGCAATATAGAGATTGTTCACTCCATACTAGAACTAGTCTTAAACACATAAAAGGTAAAGGTATCCCTTTAACAGGCCATGAAGCCCCATAGGGTTGTGAGAGGTCGACGCTCCCACATTTTCTAGATAATCGGCTCATAGATGGCGGTGAGGTCAGCATTACGCCCCGGGTGNTTGCTGCTGGTCCTCGCCAGCGCAATCATTGTCAGGTCAGAGTCCCTCGGGGACTTATGACCACATTTTACTGTCTCAGATTCGAGACTCCCCCAACCTGGAGGCCCAAGTTCCCGTGTTTATATCCCTCAGGAACAGGGTGGCCAAGTTATGCCTCCAGGCATTGGATAGACTTGCTTATTAAAATTCTGTTCCCTAGCAGCGGATGTTGTTTTAATGTTTGTTTCGAGGTTGTCTACACTCTACGTCATTCCATCATGAACACAACCTATAATTTACGCAGACATCAACATCAGTTTGAATACCTGCCTTCTCTTCACAGAGAATTATGGGACGCATGTACGGGTAGGGTTATTTCCATTTCGAGACATGCGCGCTGTAATATCTTGAAAGCAGAGTGAATTGCTTTTTCGGTCACTCTGCCTTAATATCGAGTTGTGGAATAAGTCTGAACGTCTGGTCCACCACTTTCCTGTCATTTTGTAACTACACAGTGTGACAAACCCAGACGAGCTCTCCAGCTCAATCCATATGTACAGAGTGTAATGAAAGTGAGTTTGGCTACACATGCAACGAGCCACAACCTATCAGCAATCCCCAATCCTCTGGAAGCCAGGGGTAAGGAATACTGCATTGGCTTCAATTAATTACAGCACTCTGCTGTTAAACGTGGAATTGTTGAGAATAAAATAGGAAAATGTTCCNTGTTCAACTGAAAATTTCAATAACCTCATCGGTACTCGAACCGTAGCATACTGCCTTAACCAACTACGCTACCGCGCGCACCCAGTCTTGAACACACAAAGGCTATAATTCGTCTCGTCGGCTATTTGACTGCCCTGTGAAGACTGTNACGTCATCCCTGTAACAGGCTGTGGAGGTCCATAAGGTTGTGAGACTTCGAGGCTGTCACATTTTCTAGACAGTCTGCTCAAAGATGGAGGTGATGTCAGCCTTACGCGCCGGCTGCCCTTTNAAAGAGAGTGGTACTAGGTCTCTGACGCCTGCAGAAGGAAACCCGTAACACAGCGCTACTAATGGCCATCTGATGTGCAGTTAAAGAGTGGTACATGCAACACACTGACGGGTATACGAGCGTCAGGGGATGGCCAGCCAAACGAAACAGATGAGTCTTGTGGCGGAGAGATAAATTAATGGATGGACAGGTTGATGATGAATGGACATACAACAGACGGGCTACATACACATAGACAGATGGAAAAAATAAACATTTTGGTGGCCAGTAGACTGAATTAAACATCTGCAACTTCAGATTTTTATATTTTCGTACAGTGCTTTCTCTTCGC